GGTTGGGGCGCCTCACCCCGCTCCCGTGGGGGCGCGTCCTGGCCCTGTCGCTGAGGGCGACGGCACAAGGGCAAACAGGAGCGCAGAGGGATCTGCCTGCTCCCTTTGGGCCGTGAAGTATTTTACCCTTGCTACTCAAATTAGAACGTGTGTAATTAGGTATACGGAGGTGTGTGGGTATTAATAATTGTTGTGCGTTTTGAGGTGTTAAGACTTCCTAAAGCTGCTAACTAGGGAGAAGTTCTTCGGCAGTATAGAGAATTATAGGATGAGGAGACCATGAAAACAGCAGTTACTTAAAGAGCTTTAGAGGCGGGACTGGTTTCAGTAGCAAAAAATGTTTCAGTTGAGAAATCAAAAGCTCCAGGTGCATATTAGAGTTCATTCTATCCGCATGTGTATCTGTGCTTAAAAGGAGGCACAAGTGATACATTAAAATTAGTCATAATTCATAGACACCCAACAGTAAACAGCATTTCTTTGGAGGCCTGAGCTTGTAACCTAAAATCTTCCCCCTAAACTTCCCCCCCTCCAAAAAAAAGCCCAGCCCCCCAAAAACAAAAAAACAGAAACCACAAAAAAACCCCACGCTTTTGCCACAGTTACGGAACAGAAAGCTCCCTGCGTTGTGTTTAAAAATGATGAGGTAAATGCAGATATGTTGTACAACTGTAATTCTGTTCCTTAAAGCTCAGTCTTTGAGGGCTGAATTTTCTGTATTACAGTACATGCTTCTATCCCTTTTAATATAATGTTAATAACACTAAGGGTTTTTTTTCCCCCCATTGGTTTTATGCTTGAAGGATGAACTAGTGAGGATAAAAGTGGTTAACAGGTGGTTATTTTTATTCCCATTTCTCTTCCACCTCTACTATGGATATTAAAATAGCTCCAGCTCTATGCAGCTTTTTCAAAAGCTGGGCTGCTTTTTTGCAACATATTACCCTTACAGGAATCCTCTTCTACTATGAGTTCTTCTTTCCTGACCTTTAGGATGTTCATGCTTGGTTATTATTTCAACATTATTGCCAGGATGTTTTTTTTCCCCTGAAGAGTACAACTGAAGCCCAGGTGATGACTTTCAAAATATATGTCTAAACAAAATCAGGAGAGTCAACAAAGGATC